TAATAATAATAATAATAATAATAATAATAATAATAATAATAATAATAATAATAATAATAATAATAATAATAATAATGATAATAATAATGAAAATGAAAATGAAAAATCAAAAGGTGGTGCAATATGGACAATGAGTTTTAGTAAAGATGGAAAATTTTTGGCTACAGGAGGTCAAGATACTGTGGTTAGAGTGTGGGCTGTAATATCAAGCGATGAGGAACGTGAGTACTTCCTGGGAAGAAATGGCAAAAAGAATGCTTTTGATGATGTCAGTGGTACTAAACTTGGCGCTCCCGTGTTTCGTGAAAAGCCATTATACGAGTATACCGGTCATACTGCTGATTTATTGGATTTAAGTTGGAGCAAAAATAATTTCTTGCTCTCCTCGTCAATGGACAAAACTGTTAGATTATGGCATATAACAAGGAAAGAATGTTTATGCTGCTTCCAACACACTGATTTCGTTACCTCGATTGCTTTCCATCCAAAGGTTTTCATTCTTTTCAAAAAAAAAATAAAAAATAAAAAATATTACTTTTTTTTGAAAAATAATTAAAAATATTAATATTAACCCTCAAAATAACCTGTTCAAATAATGTGCTAATTTAGGATGATAGATTCTTTCTTTCTGGATCTTTAGATTGTAAACTTCGATTATGGAATATTTCTGAGAAGAGAGTTGCACATTGGCATGAATTGACCGACTCACAATTGATTACTTCTGTCGGCTTTACTTTGGACGGGAAATTTTCAGTCGTAGGAACACTTAAAGGTCTTTGTTTATTCTATGAAACTGATGGGCTACGCTATCATACTCAAATTCATGTAAAAAGTTCTCATGGCAGAAATTCTCAGGGCAAAAAAATAACAGGTATAGAGCCATTTCCCGGTACTCCTGCTGGTCAAGAGAAGGTAAAAATATTTTCTGGTGGATCTAATCAATTTATCCATTAATTTACCAACCAATTAATAAATCCAATTGACAATTTCCATAAATTATTTTAGTTACTGATATCGTCAAATGATTCAAGGATACGATTGTATAATATGCGAGATAAATCACTGGAATGTAAATACAAAGGAATGGAAAATACTTGTGGCCAGATAAGTGCAACATTTAGTGATGATGGTCGTTATATTATTACTGGATCGGAGGATCGTCATGTCTATATATTTAACGCTGACCAAGCGTCAATCAATTCGTCACATCATGGATCAAGTAGCAGTGGTAACAGCTGGCTTAAAAAAGGAAAAACAGCTTACGAGAGCTTTGAAGGTATTTATTTATTCATTTGTTAATTAATCGATTGCTATAAATATATCATGCTATTTTTATTTACATCATCATAATAATATATTATTATTGTATCAGCACATCCTGCAGTAGTAACAACTGCAATATTTGCACCAACTCGTACCAAACAATTAATTGCACATGGTGGCGACCCGATATATTCAAATACAATCAATCATGACACATCCATCCCTTCTGATAAATTTACTTACCCTGATGGGAACATTATAGTTTCAGCTGATAATACTGGTCGTATAAAGATATTCCGTCAAGATTGTGCCTATTATCATTCTCACGACAACGACAGTTCGTCAATTCTAAGTACCAGGTAATTGACTAAATACATTTGCTTGTGTGAATAACTGCACTTTCCAACATTCGACCCATTTCTAAACTCCAAATTATTATAAATTTTTATATATAGATCTTGGAATTCAAATTTTAGTAGCATTAATAGTTTATTTAGCAAACCTATAAATTTTCCTAACAGACTAAGAAGAAAAAGTGATGCATCAAGTTTATATTCTGGAAATTCAAGTATAGTGAGTATGGATGGACCAACTACGCCAACCACGCCGGCTACACCAGCCACACCAATAACCAATAATAATAATAATAGTAGTAGTAGTAATGTTGCTGGTGAAAGAGGTTCGCAAGACTCGGGTGGTCAGTGATTTCAATGCGAGTGTGGATTTGCAGAATGTAGAGCTTACCTTATAAAAAGATGAACTTGTTTGTGCCATTTGTCATAAACCTGCATAACAAATTTTTTTTTTAATTTTATTATTATTATAATATTAATAATATAAATGTATTATTACATATCTATTAAATCACCTGTTTTCTTTACAATATTTATAAATATAAAGATCAAACTTTTACAATTCATTTTTTTTCTTTGATGAATTCTCAAAAAGAATTGATATATTCTAATGCAAATTTGAAAAATTTTTTTTTTGTGACGCGTTATTTCCAATAAATACATATATTTAATATTATAAAAGGAACCTTTATCTCAAAATATTTCACGTGAATATTGATTTAATAATAATCCACAATAACGAGTGAAAGAGTCCAGTGATTTGAAAATACCCATATTTGAAATGACTTGTTTTGCTCATGGTGTCTTTTTATGATCAAAGAACTATTTCGATCATATTTTAAAACGTTATTATTATTATTATTATTTAATTATTATAATATTTACTATCAACAGGTAATTTTTTCAGAATATTATTATTATTACTATTATAACTACTACAAGCTTATCGTGTATTGTCATTAAGAGATCGATCATCGATATGTATTGTAACAAACGAATTTGTTGCGCCTCGACATGATTGTTTCATCAGGTGATTTATTTTTTCAATTAGGAAAAGTCATTCAACTTTTACAATGGATACTTGTGATTCTACCAAAGGAAATATAAATTTATCAGAATTTGATGGTATTGTACTTGGTGTGTTCAAGGACGGTACATTATGTCAAACTGTTAGTGGCTCAAACCAGCTTCCTGAAGACTTTCTACAAATAATCAAACAAAAACTCGAATATTCTGGATGCAGTAAAGGAAGGCTGGGCGAATGTAAAGTATTACATGGAATAGATAAGTTTGATGCTGGTGCTGGTGATAACCTTCGTAAAAAAATAGCCATCGTTGGATTGGGTAAAAAAAGATATTTTAACACTTGTGTTAATGATCAAGAGTTAGCTGAAGTTTTAGAAATTGCTAGAAATGCGGTAACAACTACTACTTATCCGTTGTTCATAATCAAATAGTTTAATCAATCAATCGTTCACTTATTATTATTATCATTTTATTTGTACAAAAATGAACTTAGGCAGCTATTGGAGTTCGTAGCTTAAGAGAAAAGAATGCCAAAAATATTTTGGTTGATGTTATGACTAATGAACATGGTATTGTGGTTTATTATTATTATTATATATAAAAAAATAATATTTATAATTAAAATCAACACTACTTACTATATAACACTACTTACTATATAATACTACTTACTATATAATACTACTTACTATAACAACAACAACAACAACAAAATAATAGGTGCAGCTGAAGGTGCAGTGCTCGGTCTATATTATTATGATACTTTGAAATCGGCTAAAAATCAAAAATCACCAGTAAAAATTACACCACTTGGATCAAAATCTACCTCCACTTCTACATCATATTCTTCTTCTCTTACCACTTCTTTCTTGCCATCATCATCATCAATCACCACTGCAACAACAGTTGGTGCTGCCAAAGATTTAACATGGGAAACGGGAATAATTTATGCAGAAGCACAAAATTTTACGCGTACACTAATGGAAACGCCAGCAAATTATATGACTCCGACCAAATTTACCGAACATGTGAAATCTAAATTAACTGGTCTGCCTAATGTTGAAGTGATTATTAGGAATAAGGATTGGGTAGAAGGGAAGAAAATGGGATCTTTCTTGTCAGTGTCCAGAGGATCAGATGAACCGTTGAAATTTTTGGAGATTCATTACAAAGGTGGCAAGGAAGGTGATAAGCCATTGGCATTTGTTGGAAAAGGTATAACATTTGATTCAGGTGGTATTTCATTGAAGCAACCCCTAGCAATGTTAGACATGAAAGCTGATATGGGTGGTGGTGCAGCAGTCGTGGCATCTGTGTATGGTATAGCAAAATTAGGACTGCCGATAAATTTGGTGGCCACAGTTCCGCTTTGTGAGAATATGCCATCAGGTCATGCAACCAAACCTGGCGATGTCGTTATAGCAATGAATGGCAAGTCTATTGAAGTTATCAATACAGATGCAGAAGGTCGCCTTATTCTAGCTGATGCTCTGTACTATACCAGCTCAACATTCCTACCTCATACATTGATTGATATGGCAACATTAACGGGTGCAATGTGTATAGCGTTAGACGAAGCTTATTCTGGTGTGTTTACTAATTCTAATGAAGTATGGGAACTGTTGTCGAACGCTGGTAAAACAACCAATGATAGATTTTGGCGCATGCCATTAGATGATCAATATAAAAAAAAATTGGTAAAGTCGAGCGTGGCTGATTTAATTAACTCTGCCGGTAAGCCAGGAGGATCGTGTATAGCAGCATCTTTCTTGAAAGAATTTGTTTATGGATTATGTGAGGATTTGAATAAAACCTGTGAAGGGAGAGATGGCGAAGTTGAAGACGATGAGGGCGAAATGGGCGGTGTTAGGATTAAAGATGCGAGTGAATTGAATTGTATTAAATATGCACATATTGATATTGCCGGTGTTATGTTTACTACAACTGATCATGCTTACAATGTTGAAGGAATGACTGGTAAGTTAAATATTCTACTTTCAAAAAAATAATAATAATGAAAACGTGTTATCCTAATAAATATATATTTTATTTGTAATATAACATATTTATAGGTCGTCCAACTAGATCCATTATTGAATTTGCAAGAAACCTTGCTAAAATTAATTAAAATAAAATAAATAATATGTTGATATGTTAACATATCTGGAAACCTACCAAGGTCCATAATAAGAGCTAATCTATTTCCAAATTTTAATTTTAATTATTTATGTCAAAAACGTGATTTTTAGCATTTAACCTAAAATTATACAATCAGAGATTATGAATTTTGATTGGCTGATTTATATCTTTAAATCTCATCTTTTATCTTTTATTTGAACATTTTCTTGTTTTTAAACACAAATGTCAGAAAGTCAAACATCAATAAATCCGTCAATAACAACTGCACCAGTAACGACACCACGTTCACCACGAATAGAAATAGAATTTTGTATTCAATGTCGTTGGTTGGATATTATTTAATTTTCTTTTCTGTAACAATAGTAAGTTTTTTTTTTAATAAGAGATAATCATTATTTATATTACTTTTAGGACACTTAGAGCGGGATGGATGGCGCAAGAGTTATTTATTACATTTGGAAATGCTTTAGGTGAAGTTGCTTTAATACCTGGGATGAGTGCTGTGTTCAAAGTTACTATTGATGGAGGTAAAAGAATATTTATATCATTGCGATTGTAATTGTAGTTATTTCCAATAATGATTATATATTATTTTTTTCTTTGCAAAAAGAAATTATTTGGGATAGAAAGAAAGAAGGTAGATTTCCCGAATTAAAGGAATTGGTGAGTAGCTTTATTTCTTCCATCTGCATGTACAATCTATCTAATATTATTATCATATCACTCATTCACATTTCAATCCACGTTTCTTCTATTAAAGAAACAATTAATAAGAAATAAAATTGCTCCTGACATGAAACTTGGTCATAGTGATGCAAAAAAAGAAGAAGATAATAATAATCAAAATGCTACTAATGCTAGTGATGCCACCGCCACCACCATTACTTCTGATAAGAAGACTGACAAAGAATGCAAAGATTGTAACGAATTAACAAATTAAATAAATCAAATAAATGATATATTCTTAATATATTCTTTGAAAATGAGAATCAACGAAGAATTATTTATTATTATTATCCTATTATTTCTCGTAAAAAATTTCTAATTTTAACTTTTCCATTTTACAAAAAACCGTCGATCATCTCTCAAAATGTAATACATAATAATGATAATGTATCAAACTAAAAATAGAATTTCGATCTTTGAATTTTAAATATATATATATATATACATGGATAATGTCTTTTGATTTACTATGAAATTTAATACCGACTTTATATATATATTTGTATTGTGTCTATATTGTATATTTAAATGTTTCGGAGTTTGAAAACAAGATTTAATTTATTGTAGCTGAAAAGATGTTGTAAATTGTTCTTCTGGGAACGAATTCAAAGAAAAATGTATTGGAATTTTTAGGAGTATATGATAATTAAAATAATAAGAAAAAGAAATGAAATAGTCATTATTGTCCATATAAAGAACTAAAGAAAAGTTATTAGTAACATTGATGCAATTGAACATCAAATCAAAACTCGCCGTTATAACTATGTTTCGGAAAATCCCCGTTTATCAATTTCTGTTGTTATCATTTTCAATTAATTCAATTAATGATAGATGTCACGCACGTTTTATGTTTTTTTTTACCGTAAAGTCTGGAAAGATAGCACCTCCTAAAGATAGCACCCCTACTTTAAAACAATTGAGCGTCAATATAAAAAAATGTTACACATATGTAAAAAGGGGATGCTATCTTTTCAGACTTTACGGTATTTGTTTTGTGTACACAGTAAACTTTAATGGTTAATAGATTTTCTATCTCGTGAAAGTAAATGCCAAATATGGAAATACTTTACCAAATGCAAAAATTCAAATCGCACGCGTCATTATTTATTTATTGCCATTTTAACATCAGATTATCAAATATTGTTGTTTAAAAATTTTTTAATGTAAGAAAAATAAATAATAAATTTAATATTTTAAAAAAATTCCAATTATGTTAAACATTCTCCTTTTATATCCCGAGACAAAAAATATTAATAGTATTATTTTTTTTTTTTTTTTATTTAAAAGCCGAGAAGATTTCAATTAAGGAAGTTTCTGTTCCTTTTAAATAATATTTTTTCAAGCAAAATAAAAAAAAAAAACTTAATCTTAATTAAACTTAATTAAATTATAAATAATATATAAAAATGAATAAAAATAATAATACATATATGTTAACTTATTAATAAGTGTGGTGACAAAAGCGATAATGGTGACAAAGATACGGTCGAGAAGTCCGGTAAAGCAGAAGAGGGAGAACACGTATATTGTATTTAAAATATAATTACTAATAATTACTAATAATAATAATAATAATAATAATAATAATAATAATAATAATAATAATAATAATAATAATAATAATAATAATAATAATCTGTTACTATTGTTATGTTTATGATTTATGATTTATGATTAAGATTAAGATCTTACTACACATATACATATATTTTTGTCTTACCATATAATTTATATAAAAAATATTTCATAATTGTTTTTATTGAATATAAAAACTGGTAATTCTATATATTAATACTAATATTATACAACGGCGACGACAACGACACAAACAACAATAATAAATATTTTGTTTATGTATGAATACAAATGATAAATAATAAATGAAATTATACAATGAAGAAGATATTATACAAAAATAAAAATTAAGAAAAAATAATAATAATAATATATTTTTATAAATTGATAAATGTTTATGCGTAAATTAGAAATAAAAATTTGTTTCAAAATTTAAATGGTCTGAATCATCGTCGATATTGTCACCATTATCATTATTAATATTGTCGCAATTAGGCGTAGTAGCTTGTATTGGCATTGGTATTATTGGTGATGATGTTGACGAATTAGATGCAGGAATATTATTAAAACTGTTTAATAAATCACTTATTTGGTCATGTGATGGTGTCGTAATAGCAATTTGTGGCGATATTGGTGTTGTTTGCAATGAGAAATTTGGAGACCAAGATCCCGAAAGAAATGAAAACCCTAATTCCGATTGCTGTTGTTGTTGTGATTGAATTTGTTGATTTTGAAAAGAAGTCGAAGATCCAGATGTAGAAGGAGGTAACGGTGGAGTTGGAATAAGAGAATGAAAAGTAAATTGTTGTGGTTGTGATGATAAAGCTGAAATATTAGCCGATGATGATGATGGTGATGATGATGTAAGTGTTGAGTCAGACATGTATGTAAAGTCTACAGGATCATCTCGATGAAATGTATGTTTATTTGGGTCATGGGAAAGTCTCATCACAAAACGACCGGGAATATGTTGCTGACTTTGATTAGGCAATCTTTTTTTAATTTTCAAAGAGTTTTGACTTAGTTGTGACTTTCTTTTTTTCACATTTTGATCTTTTGATTGTTTGGTCGATTTTTCAATTGTTCCTGAAGCAGAAGAAGACGAAGGAGAAGACGACGAAGAAGAGGGAGAAGAAACGACGTTGGAGTCAATGTTTGTAGCATCACCAGCATCACCAACATCAGTGACTGCAATTGTGGCAGTGGTTGTAGTAGGAGTGGTAGTAGGTGATGATTCAAAAGCGTCTAAAGTGTTATTATTAGAAGTGCCGTCAATATTTTCTAGTGGGAAGTCTAAAAGAAAGTCAAATTTTTGTTGATCAATTGAAGGTGTTGGAGGATAGGTGAAAGGTGGAGATGTAGAAGCGGAAGGTAACAAAGTTAAATTATATATAATGTTATCTAAACTGTTATTACCATTACTATTTAAAGCATGTATGTAATTTGCGTTGTTATTGCTTTCAATTGATTCAAATATATTAACAATATCTTCAAGTATTGTCCATATATATTTTTTAGAATGTTCTTCATCATTGCTGCCGTTGTTACCAAGCATTTTTAAATGAATCAAGAGTGCTTTGCATATATCGTTATTACTAATACCACCAATATTATTATTATTATTATTATTATTGCTAAAGTTCAAACTGTCAGAGAATTTATTTAATTTGCTCCATAATTGACGTAAAATGGTTATTTGCGAGTGCGAAGTATTGAAATCAATTAATAGATTAAAGATTAGCATTTCGAATTCGTGTTGCCTGCATTCTTTGTTATCGCTAATAGAACTACCAGTAGTTGTATTATTAAGAAAAGCGTCGGTGACTTGTTTTAATTGATTCTCCATTGGTTTAATTCGTTCGTTTAAAATCTTATCGACTACTGAAATATCAATTAAGGTTGGTTTTGAGTTTGAAATTGAATCTGTAATTAAATATGAGTTTGAATTATTGGAGTTTGGATTTGAGTTAGGATGGTTAATATTATTATTACAATTGGAATTTATATTGCTTGATAATAATTTTTTATTGTTTTTTCTTCCAGATGGAGAGTAATTACATTTATGATTTTGAGACAGACAATTAGAACATGAAGAATTTGTTAAAAAATCTCCATCACACTTTTTCTTAATTTTTTGACAATTGTTACAAGCTTTTAAAGCAATTTTTCGAGGTTTAACAACCACAGATGATTTACTGGCGTGATCATCATTTTTCTTGCTATCGTTTGCCGCTCCAATTAAAACATCCCTCTCTCCGACAAAATTTTCTTGTTGTTGTTTTCGATATGTGTTCTCATTTTTGAATGACATTGTGATATTGCCACCGGATTGAGTAAAACTTGACCAAAATAAAAAAAAAATAATTTAAATTTTTACTTGTTGTAATTTTTTGGAAAGTTTTTTGATAAGTTTCAAAAGTTTACTAAAAATATTTTTGAGTAAAGTGTAAATTGATTTTTTATAAGTTTAATAAAAAAATTTTTTTTTTTCAATTGTCCTTTGATTTTTTTTTTTTTTTTTTAAAATGAAAAGAATTCAACTATTTATAAAAGTTGAATGTGATTACGAATCTAGAAAAAAAATTAATTTGTTGTAACACAAAAAGGACTTGTTATTTTTTTTCTATTTTTAAAAATTCTTGTTCTTGTTGTGATTTGTGATAGATATATATTTCAATCAATTCATTCACTAATAAATTTAACAAATAAATTATACTATTCAGATAATATGTATGTATAGTCGTATATCAACAATAGCCAATTTTCTTCCGAAATGAATTAAATAAATTTTTTTTTTTTTACGAAATACACAATTTTCTGGTTTTCCAACTTGAAAGATAAAATATATTTGTATTTTATAGTTTATTAATATTAATATTAGTTAAGCTTAAAAACGCTTACTAATTCTTTGCGATGTTATTAAACGTTTATTGCCATGCCCAATTTTGTTTATATGCATATTAAATAAATTATTTACTATTACAACTAAATGATTTAGAATAGTAACTTCATATTATATATATATGTGTGAATATATAATAACAATGATCGAATAAAAAAAATAAACAGAAATAATTAATTAATATGCTATTTTTGGAGAAAAGCATCTCAATAGATATATATAGATATATATAGATATATTATATTAACATGTATGCAAATAACTTGAATGCAAAGATCAATACAATCAATTAATTGATTAGAAGAATGCACTACAAAATAAATAAATAATTCTTTGCTCTTTTTTTCTTCCCTAATTCTTCTTTCGAAGCCTTGGTTACATTCTTTGTTAACCTAGTAAGATGGAAGGTTTCATTCTGGCCGGAATTATAGGAGTATAAAATTTTGCAATGTTGATGGTAATTCGCTATATCATTCATTATTACAATGTTAATTAATCTTGCATTATTTCAATCTCATTAAAGTAATATGAATATTATTTTAGGTTAAATCGTATATACACCAAATAAATTAATCGAAAAAGAAAAATATATAAGTTATGAAATTTTTAAAAAAGTAAATTTTTATTTTTGTAAAAGCCGAATTGAAAATTTTGGGTTGTTTTTTTAAAACAAAAATAACCAAAATAAAGATTTAGTACCAACAATAAATTGTTTGCTATCTTGTTTGTAAAAAAACAAAAAAAAAAAAAAGAAAACAAATAAATCTGGTGAACATTGAATGATGAAAGTGATGTGTTTTTGTTTATAAGCGTACGATCATCGTAACCAAATGTGATCTGAAACTTGCATTTAATCTGAAGCTTCTAGAACGAAAATCAATAATAGGTCCAAGTGTACCAAGAAAATTCCGAAATAGGATTGTCCTGTGCATATTTTTTTCTAGAAGAATTATTTTTATATATCCAAGCCACATCAAATTGTGTGGCAAATCATCTAGCGTGGCTTTATATTTACCAAATTAGTATTGTGGATTCATCAACATTCGCAATACGAATTCCGAAAATTGAAAGACAATTATTATAATAAAAAGGTCACAAGTCATGCCATGTATATATTATTAATCGTTTATAATAGGAATGAATAATATTTATTATTTATTATTTATGCATATTTTCGATATTAATTTGGGTTGTATGCATTTTTTGTTTATCGGGAATAAAATAAGGTGAATAATTCATATTAATGTATATATGAATTGTATGAAATAACTAATTTTTGTTTGTTAAACTTTTTTAATTTCTTAATTTCTTGAAACGAGTTCATTTTGCCAAATTATAACGGAGTTTTAAATCCCTAGGCATTCATCGTTATTTCCCCTTTCCCCTTGTATTTCGATTTTATATTAATTAACATTATTAATTATTACATGTGGTTAAATTATTACTTTTTTTGAAAAAAGCCTAAATATATTCATTACATATATGTACATGATGCTTAATTAGAAATTCTTCCATTTCCAGAATTTCTTTCTCTCAAAGCTTGCCTCCTCCCTCCCCATATTGTTCTCATGACAGATGGATGACACTGGTCCATTGGTGTAACATTAATCATTTAAATATTAGTGGATATGGACCAATTCGTTGTTCTCAATAGGCCCGGTTTATTATCAAATAATCTATTTATATAATTTCTATAGTACGTTCCCTCAAAACATAATAATATTCGTTAGTATATTTTAAAGAGTTATATGTGCGGTTTTGTAACACAACATTGGCAAATTTCCAGAAAACACCTCACGTGTTACAATAAATATTTATATTAGAGTATGGTCTTAATAAGCGTTTCTAAGAAATGTGGCGCAGTAGCTTCATTCTCTAATTAAAAAAGGAGGCCTCATGAGACTTTGTACGATGCCAAGTTGCTCTAAACGAATACCATTCTATGGGATGGGAGAGTTGTGCATTGTAAATAATTTTAAATTAATAAATGTCACAACAAGATTACGTCGTTAAAAAAAAAAAAAAAATTCTAATAAGTGCTTCTTGTTTCTGTTTTTTTTTTTTTTTAATCACTCAATTATTCTTCTTTTATTTGACTCAATTCAATTTATATTACTTCAAAGTCTTGAATAATTTCTTTTTGCTTTGCTATTTCAAAATAACTCTTTTATCTTGGTTCGTTCGTTATTTTTCCTATCATCTCTCGTTTGAGTAGCAGCATCATTCTTTAATTTTCTAAGTGCTTGCTTCTCTTTTTTTTCGTTTTGTTCGTTATTATTATCTATATCTAGTTGCTTTTTTCTTTTCATTGTCTAATTTTTTTAAGATAACTTGGTATTTTGGCTTTATTGCTGATAATTTTAGCCCTCTTTTTAAATGAATTTTTTTTTTATTACATTATTCCCATATCTTTTCATGGCATACAAATGAAATTTTCTAATCCTATTTGTTCTCTTTCTAATTAATTTATTACTTTCTAAATTGACTACGGTATGGAGAAGCTTCTCTCTGCTGATTTAAAAGATATTTTCGGAGAGTTATCATATTCTCATTTATCCACTTCATCTAAGAAAATTTTTTATCTCAATCTGTCCTTCTTCGCCTTCCGTTCTATAAAGAATAATAAATAATTCGGGAAACTTGTTCTTTCTCTATGATTTACTTTTCATATCCCAGTTCAATCCATCCATGAAACTTACAAAGTATTTTGAAGAATGAATAAGGTGAGAAACTTCTCTTTACATTTTCAAAATAAATGATACTAAAACTACTAAAATCATAACCAATAAAAGGGTTTAACACAAAACTTTGAAACAACCAGAAAGAACGAAAGATGCTAGAAGAATAATAGTCATAATCAAACATGTAAATTATTCTGCGCCAGTTTTAGACAATTAACATCTTTGAATTCATTTCTGACAAATGAACCAATATTATTATAATGGTATGGAGTGGGTGTTGATATTGGAAACAATAAATCTTTAATATCTTTTATGCTTTGAAAAAATATATTTTTCTAATAAAAAGGTTCATCATTGTCATTTTTACAACACCAGAATTAGAAGCTGTAAAAAGGAAATTTATACTACAAAAACCTTTTCCATTGAGTTTATTCAGTCTAGAAGTGCTAGATCTTTTTACAATGTCCACAACCTCATCCACAGAATCTGCATTTGTCTTTCGATATAATTTCTTGATGAATCCAAATCTACCATCCATCATATTTGAATTTGGAATGTCCAGAAAAAATTCAATGCTTTCATAGTAACCACAAATTATTAGATATCAGGATCATCTTCAAATGCTTTGACTTCACAAATATACCATTAGGACTCTTTCATCTTCATTAAAACATAGTTAATTGGTTCTTGAATGTATTGAACTAAGATAATTGGTTTTACTCGCCTGTTTAATAGAATGTAGTACATGGACATCTTGGAATGTAATAAGCAGTAGCATCAATACTGCGATGTCATATCTTACGGACACATGAAAATGACGGGGACGGGCAAGTGGAAAGGCCTCACGCAATTCAGAAATCCCTTTTTTGAGGGACAACCACATTTGCAACCCTTCAGTATTCACTGCTCTTCATATATGTATATATATATATATTATATTAATGAAATTTAATATTTAAAAAATTTTAAAAATTATTCTTACAAGACTTTTGTTCGTTATAACAAGATTCGATTGAAATCCTTCAAAATCAAAATCCAAATCCCGCAAAAAATTAGAAGCCGAAGAATTAAAAAGACGAGAAACAAAATTATCCGAAAAAGACCGCAAATTAAAAGAAGATGCCGAAAAAAGACAAAAAGAAAAAGAATTAGCCGAATTAGAAGAACAAAAACGCGAAGAAGCACGATTATCTCACATTTCAATTAATCAAATTAATCAATGAATTATAACGCATAACATATTATTGCCAACTAAACTCGGTTAAGAAAAAATAACTGTCTACCAGCCTAAACAATCGTACAATAAAGTTAGTTCAATTCTAAACAAAAAAATAATAGCAATATCATTAACCTTAATAAATGATGATGATGATGATGATGATGATGATGATGATGATGATAGTTTATCGCATAGAGCCAAAGAATAAAATACTTATTTTCATAAATTGATATTCCTACCTTGCAACTCTAGTTAAATAAATAAATAAAATTTAGTCATGTAACTGGTACGCATAAAAGAAATCCAAATGTATAAAAAGTTATTTGTAATATATAATTTTATATATTTAATTAATGATGCAATGTAAGCCTGCAGAAAAACCTTGACCAGCTAAGCCAAACAACTTTTGGATAAATCCCAGTTGATGAAAAAAATTCGCTGCCACTATTACTATTTAATGGTTTGAATAAAACGAATAAAACGAATAATAATAATTTGATAAGAATTTGTCTATTACTATTGCTTTCTTTATTATCATCTTTTTCCTCTGTCATTCTAGTAATGCAGATGTACCCATCTCAACTAAGTGTCTATGCCACTGAATTCTGCACTAAAATTCCAGACGTAAGAGAAAATGATTTTTAGCCGGCTCACATTACTATATTTTATTATGGATTTCAATTTCACATAAATAAGTAATATAATTTACTATGAAATAAATAACAACCATTGTTTTCCACTATATTGTTAATTATGCCTGAACTTCTAATTTTGTTGAATGTACTATTTCCTTTTTCTTTTTCCATATAATCTATAGCCTAAAGTTTTGAGGTGCGGATGTATGGATACGAAGTTCCATAGGCTAATTTGCAGCTTAAAGATTTTTTTTTTTTAGCATTTAGAGATGCATTTCATAACGTGGGCATCAATAGCTTAAAAGTTATAAAGTCATTAATTACATGGCAAAATCAGCAGTTTTGGCCCGTAATGACTTTTAAGTAGGGATGTCAATGGTCCGGTCTAGTCTTAGTATTAAATGTATCACGGGATTTTTATTATTTAAATGAATGGCAAATAGCAAGGTATTAATAGCTTTACCAATGGTTATTTAAATAATATTAATGGAAACGACATACCGGAAAATTATTTGTAAATAATGCTATTAGTTTTTGATAAAAAGTTCTTTAATTAGAAATTATTATAGTTGTTCTTTAGAACATTTAATTAATAATCAAGAAGAAATCACCCTGATTCGATAGAATTGGAATCTAGATGATAGTACTTTAATTTATTATAATAGTGTTAGTTTTCTCTCTGGTATTTTTCTTTTAATTTTTTAATGATGCTCCAGTAATTAATTATATAATTTTTAAGTTCCCTGAGATGACATTTAGAAGAGAGTATAGAAAGGCATCCTTGACTAGGTTGAGATAAAGTTACGGGCGTTAGTGGTCTGGCCCTTTGATTAGATTGAACGGTCTTTAAACCTGCCTATTAACAACCTTATCTTTAAGTATTGATATGTAAATTATGATGAAAAACTTCACAAAGTTGTAGATGCGTGTATTTTAATTCCTTTTTTTTGTCCAAACTCCAAGTGTTATCATGACAACTTCTTTACTTGTAAGTATACAATTAAAGATCATTATTCAAAAGCCCAAAAATTGTTGTTTTAAAAAAACTAATGATCATAGCAATTATTGACTATAATACTTAACAATACTACCTTTTTTCATATACACCGTACGGAATCACTTTTTCGAGATTATTTTCTCTCCTAAATAAGATAAATAAAATATAATAAACAAGCTGTGCAAATACAAATACGAACACCATCTTCCCGAGCAGACATTTCACGATAAAGCCGTAACCAATCCGGACCAACAGACTTCAAATTTGAAATCTAAAAAAAAAAAATTCAATTCGTATAATGCATGTATACATATTTGGATATCGCTTCTTTTATTATATGAATAAAATTCAAAGATGTAAATTTTCGAAACCATTTGTCCATCGTTAATTTCTAATAGTCTCCCCAAGCTGGACAGTGTTTTCAGGCTTACCATAGCATATGCAAGGTCTATAGCCTGGAAAATCTGCGAAAAAAAACCCCCCATATATTAATGCTCTTTTGACAGCAAAAACAATGCGTTACTATAACCAAACACTTCATAAAAATGTTATGGAATATTTTCTATAAATCCTTCAAAGAGGAACTTGAAAATAAAATATTGATTGTTATATATATCAATTAACACGTCTTTTTTTTCATCACATTATGATATTATCATTTAAGACATCCATTATTATCGGATATCATTGCGCTTCTATGAAGAAAAGATCAAATTGTATTAGTGTTATTTTTTTTAAAAATGATCGCGTGATTTCAAAAAGGATTTCCACGCACGCGCATGGACATCTTTACTAATTAATATATTGCGTATCTTTGGAGACAATAATAACGACAGATTATGCATGTAAGGATGATTGACTGACTAATATTTGTTGATCAAAATTCCGTAACCATATTAATATTTTTACAAGAATTAGAAAATGTAAAAAAAATTATTTATTAAATTAATTAATTAAAATAAATTACTATAATAATATATATACGCATAATAGTATAGAAATATAAATTGTGTGTAAATGCGTGATGGATGGAATTTATGGCATGATTGAAAATGGTTGTTTTGAATAATTAATAATCATGATAATAACAATAAACACTATTTATTATTAATAAATACAAATTAATAAAATTATTATTTTTAAAAAAGTTAATCAAAAATTAATGATAATTACTAAATGATAATTTATTAGCATTGAATTGCACCGTTAGTCGATGAGGGAGAAGATGAAATATTTCTATGGTAGTGATCCTCTGAATTGCCGCCATCATTGCTATTATTGAACTTATTCCTTGATGACAACAAATATTTATCAGTTTTAATAAATTTAGGTATAGAATCAGTCGCCATTAATCTAAATATTGTATCTTGTATTTTATCATATAAGTGACTTGTTGTTTTAATTTGAGCTAGAATATTACCATTACCGTCTTGATTATCTCTCACAACATTATTATTATTATTGCTATTTGTCATTAGAGATGTCATATATTGTATAACATTTTGTCGCAATCCATGATCTATATTAACTTCATCTGGTGATTCTTCTGCCAAATAAGTATGATAGATTTTGAATGCATCTATTAAAAGTTCTTGTTGATCTTTAATATTTTCATTAGATAATGTTTTATATTTGCGTTTGAATTTTTGCACATCCAACAAAAACATCAGATTTTCTGCACAGAAATTGGCTTTCAAGAATTCCATAAATAATTTACATAATGTTGAATCATCTAAAATTAGTTGTAATTTCTTTGTATTAGAGGCAGAGGTAAAGGTGGTTGTAGATGTAGACGTGGATGTGGACGTGGAACTGCTATAATTATGATCATTACTAACGTTAGAATTTAACGACGAGGTGCGACTATTAACGCTGTTATTATTAACGCTGTTGTTATTAACACCATTATTATTAATACTGTTATTATTAATACTGTTATTATTAATAATAACTGTGTCACTATTATTACGTTGATTATTATCATTAGAACTTGATGTTTCTCTTACAGCATCATTCGCGTTAATAACATTACCAGCATTACTAGCATTGGTGTTTTGATTATCGTCATTATTATTCTTATTCCATGATGCAATTTTTCCACCTTTTTCTAATATTTGATAATAAGTAGATTTCGAGTATCTAAATGTTGGGTTTTCAGTTTTATCAGTTGATGATTTCTTTTGGTCATTATTGTTTGATGATGATGACGACGATGATGATGAAGAAACACATTCGATAAATCCATATCTTATAAATTCTATTGCTATTTTCATTGCTTCTTCTTTGGTAATTAATGTGGTGAATTCACATAACCAATCACAAGCTGATGCTCCTGTAAACGTGTAGCGATAACTCTTTTGGTTTATCTGACGATCTTTCACCTCAATCCCAAGATTACGGTCAAATGAACCATTACTACCATTATTATCTATTACCAATATAGAAGATGAATCATGATTATTAACATTTGGTACATTTGGTCTTTGACCTGCAAAACGCCTAAATATTGATTCAATACTTTGCCTTGAAAGTACAATTGAATCATTATCAGGACTTCTTTCAATAAAAAATAATTTTATTGATGATGCTGATGTTGACGATGGTGGTTGTGACGATGGTGGTTGTGAGAGAGGATGTAATAATTTAGATAAATGTGGAGCTGTAATTCCATTTCTACTGATAAATCTTTCCAAAACAAATAAACCTTTTTGTGTCAATCCATATATGTTTTTATCTTTGAATGCACGGCTACTTGAATCACCCAAATTCTCAAATAATCTTGCATCCATAAATGTTTGACAGACACTTTTTGCCATTTCTTTTGTCATACTGAAAGTTGTAGTGGTTGTGGTCGTTACAATTCTCGAGGGATCTTTGGGATCAGGAGTTCGGTGTGATTGTGTGAATCTTAGCGAACCTAAGTTTGCTATTGCTTCTTCTGTAGTAAATGAATTCGAATAATTTTTAAATAGATTTCTATGAGTTTCCATTGGTAATGAAACGACCAGCGTTGAAAACAAATCATGAATATCCTAACAAATACATTTTACACATTATTAGTGACGCATAATTCTAAGCTTATTATTTTTTTATGGGCAAGCAATAAACACAAACCTTAACAAATGGTCTTCCAGACCTTGTGGTCTTCATCATATGAGTGGAGGACTGTTGTTGTACCTGAGTTTGAGGAGCTGCCATATTTTTATTATTATGTGTGTATATATATATATTAAGTATTGATTTAAAAAGATTGTTGAAATTTTGGTGAAATGAATGTAAATTTCTTTATTATAATAATTTATTTTAATTTTAAAAAAACCCCTTTTTCCAAAAAAAAATATATTTACAAGGGTTAAGAAAATGAATGAATGCTGTGTGATGAGTTTATGTTATGAGATTTATGATTTAATTAATATCAATAATTAAATATAAATTTTCTTGTTTACATGCAAATATTTTGTTGAGGGAAAAGAGAAAAATTTTAATTAATTTATATTTTTTATATTTTTTGTGGATAAACAATTAAAGAGTAGGTTACTCAAATTCAAGCGTTTAATTAATTAAAAAAAAATAATAGTAAAAAAAACAATGTAATCTTTCTCTCTTCTTACTTTAACTCCTATTTTAATTAATTTTCTATAATAACAATATTAGATAATAAAATATGAATAAAGAATTAGATGAAACAAAATCTCATAATAAAGAAACCTTTTTATTTTAGAAAGATTTGCTAATTTATACTAAATATATACATTACATATATTAATGGATATTTATAGCAAAGTTTTATGCAATTTAAGATGTTTTTTTTTCTCTCTTATGAGAAGATCAACAGCCAAATATTCTGTTTTTTAATTCCATTATTCATTACAAATTCGTCAAATTTGGCAATCACATGTAATTTCCATCTTGCAAAAAAATTCTTTATCTATAACGTACCAAAGAATGTATAATGGATCAATTTGCATTAACTCCAATAGCTCATTATTATTACAACCATTTTCGAATTTTCACTTTCGAATTTAAAATAAATTTTTCATTAAATCTTTATATGTGTTTTGGCTGATGTTATTAGCCATCTTTCTATATTTTTTGTTTATTATATATATATTAAAGATTAATCAATCCAACTACAATTTATGACATTGTACAAATTAATTTCGTATCGCTAAAAAGATATATTTGTTATTGCTTGCTTGTAAATAATAATAAATTATTAATTATTTTGTAGAATAATAGACATCAACAAACCAACCATTCCTTGCCTAGTTGTGATTGTTCGTGTGACATCTGATGCTTATGAAAATTGTTTTTTTCTATCAAACATTTTTTTTAATTTAATTTAAATTCTAATTTTCTTTAGCTTCAATGAATTTACTAATAAACTATTCGGCAAACTATTTGCAAAACTATTTGGTAAACTTTAAAATAAACTATTTGACAAACTACTAAATAAACTATTTTTGATGAGATATATACTAATTAATAAACCCAACAGTATATTTTAAATTTAAACCATATTAATTTTTTTTTTACTGAAAAGTTTTCTCCACATTTTTCTTTTTTTAACTCAATAAATATAAATATTTTTTTACCCCTCCCCTTCGTTTCCCTCCTTTTTATATATATATATATATATATTTATTTATTATTATATAAATATTTTTCTTATTTTTTTTTATTTCATTAGAAAATTTTTTTTTCAAGGTTTTTTTTATTTAAAAAAAATTAAAATTAAAAATAAAATATTATTTTTATTATTATTTTTTTTTGTCCCAAGAGAGGAACATATAAAAAATTTTGTAAATTATAACATTATATATATATAATTCAATTTATTCAATTCAATTCAATTCAATTATATTAATTGAGAAAAATGCTGGGAAAATTATCAAAAAAAGCAAAGAAAGCTGTTCAAGAACATTCTTCAAAAAATAATTCAGATTCACAAAATAATAATAGTAGTGGTGGTGGTAATAATGGCGGTGGTAACAATGATGATTCAAGTAAACATAACAATTTAACTGTAGCTATAAATAAAAAAGGCGGAGTTGCTCTCAACTATATTCTAAAAAGAGCTCCAAATCTCTTACCTGCTGTAGCAACCACTGTAAAACTTCTTCCTAAAATAACTAAAAAAGATAAAAAAAATAACCAGAGATATATACATCATAATTTTGATCATACAAATAACACCATAAACAATCATAATGGGATTCATCAAAATCAAAACATTGATGATCATGATAATGATGACAATAGTAGCGATCGTTTATCTGTGGCTTCATATTTCGTCAATAACAATGCGTTATCTCCTGCTCAAAGGCGTGGTTCAAAATCATTAAATGAAGTAGATATTAGTGATTATAGTAGTAACAATAGCAATGGAAGCGGCGGCAATAATCATATTATGATGGATAGTAGTAATAATAGTAGTAATATTAATCATGGTAATTGTCGTGTTCCTGAACATCATCATAGGCGTCCTTCTGAACCAACTCCTGTAAGAGGTATTAAACGTACTTTATATCATGATTATGATATATTATCAATATTTAAATCCTCATCACCTTCAAATCGTAACGATGTACCAGAAATCAATATTCTTCCAGTAGACACTACTAATAATAATACTAGTAATGGTCGTCGTCCTCACTCAAGATCAAATAATAATTTCCCTATAATAAAAGAAGGCTATCTCAATAAAAAAATAGATTTTGACACAAAATCATTCTCATCCTCACCATCTTCTGGTTGGAAAGTTTATCGCGTAGTGTTACGTGGCTCAAAACTTTATTTTTACAAACCTCCTTCCGAATCAGTATTAAAAACATTTTTTCCAAATAATGATGATTTAAATAATATTAGAGATTTAAAATTTTCAATATTCTCATCAAATGATGATCACGGTATGGACTTAAATCCTGCTAATTTTGAATCAAGTGCAAATAAATTAATCTTTGAAGGTAGCGGTAGTAATAATAGTTATAATCAGAATAATAATAGTAATTATTATGGTGGCAGTAGCAACTATTATTACAATAAAAATAACGAATTAAGGTTTGATTCGCCACTTATAACAAATTATTGTTACGGTGAATCTTGTTATGAAACGGACAATTTTAATACTACAAGATCCAAAAAGCATGTTTGTTTATTAATATTCGAGGATAATGTTTTAGTATGTAAACGTAAATGGGTGAGGTATACGGCTGCCAATCTAAGACCTATTATGGATGCTATGGGTTTTGGTAATAGCCATAGTAGCCACAACAACAATAATCACAACAATCATAATAATCATAATACTTACGGCCACAGTCACAGCCATGGTCACGGACATAGTCACAGTCACAGTCATAGTAGTAGTAATGGTAGCAATTGTAGCAACAGTAACAGTAATAATAATCCACTTACTACGAATCCTATTAATAGTAGTATTAGTAATGGCAGTGGTTTTAATTCATCATCAGAGACACCAACGTCAAATCAAGATTGGGATTCAAAATCTTTTAATAGTACTCGTGGTATATCTGAAAATGATAATGTAAATAATAATAAAGGTAAAGGTTACTATACGAAATGGAAACTGGATTCTTGTTTTCCAATTCATAATGTTGAAGTAATACAGGACCCAACACAAGATCAAAATCCATATATACCAACCAGCTATTCTCCCTACATTGCTCCCTTATCTCAATCCCCATATATCAACTCTCTCTCAAATAGACCAAATGATGATGCCTCATCTCTAAAATCTTTTTCTTCGTCTGTTTCTAATATCATCCCTAATAATAATAATAATAATAATAATAATAATAATAACAACAACAATAATAACAGCAATAATGCCGATAATAACAACGCTATTCTCCATCTATCAATTATTGATGGTCAAGATAAAAGTACATTAAGAGCTTTTATTATGCCAAATAACGAATCAAAATCAATTTGGATTAGTAAACTATGGGATGCTAAGAAAGCAAGTCTTAGAAAATTGATTAAATTACCTGATAAAGTTGATTCTAATTTAAGACAATATGGTTCATCAAGGGACAATAATAATAGCAGTACTGGTGGAAATAGTGATGGTGTCAATGTTAATTTACATGATAACAATAATGGTAATAATAATATTTTATCAAAAAGAAATTCAAGACTTAATGGTCTTAATATTGTTGTTAATGGCATTGGAGGTGGTGGCGGTAACAAGATCGAATTTGCAAATCTTCCTACACCTAGAAAAGCTAGAGCATATTGGGGCACTGATAAACATCCTGAATTAATTGTAAAAGACATGTCCATAATACCGACTAACCAATTATTCAACAACAACAACAACAGCAACAGTAGCAGTAGCAATAACAGCAACAGCAACATCGTTAACAATAAAAACTTCATTAATGATGATGATGCTGATGGTGGTGATGGTGGTGGTGATTATAATGGCGGCGATGACAACAATAAAAAGGAATTTAGTATAATCATCGAAGAGGATGAAGAGGAAGAATATAATGATAGTGGCAACGAGGAGGATGAAGAAGCAGAAGAATCTATTAAAGTGGAAGAAATTGTTAATGATATCAAGGAAAATGTTGTTGACAGATCTAGTAAAGTATTTGAAATTGATAATAATAATGTTAATGATGATAATAAAAATAGTTTTGATGATAAATCCAGTAAAATAACTGAAATCAGAGATGATAGTGGTGATAATGATGGTGGTGATGATAATAAATCTGGTAAAATAATTAATAATGACAATGACAATGACAAAGACAATAGCAATGACAATGACATTAATAATGGTAATATTGAAGATAAATCCAGTGAATTTAAAGATGAAGAAGAAAATATTGATGATGAATCCGGTAAAATAATTGATAATAATGATGAGGATGGCAAAATAATTGAAAATATTGAAAGTGCTAACAATGATAAATCCGAGAAAATTGTTGAAAATATAGTGAATGGTGATAGCAATGAGATTAGGGATATTGATAACGAGAACGATAGCGAGGATGAGAATAATGAATCTATTGATATAGTTGGGAAAGATGAAAATCTTGAAAACAGCGATGATGATAGGAATTCTCTTAAAGCCACTGATGAAATTGGCAAAGATTTTGATGAGGATAGTTCAACTAAATCACCAACGACTTTAGTTGATGATTCAACTTTTAATTCTCCCATTAAAAAGTCATCCCAGAAAATGATTCGTGGGGGGTCGATCGATGCGTTAATACATGAACTTGTGTTTGAAAGTCAAAAGGGTGCCGATGACGATGACGAGTTTCTACATGCATTTCTTCTCACCTATCCTCTATTCATAGAATCGACCCATATTTTGCGCGAGTTACGTCGTTGTTCCAGTATGATAACTCCAAAGGCTGATGTTATTAACAATAGATTGATTGTAATTTTTAAAACATGGTGTCAAAGCTATACTAGAGATTTGGTTAGGGATGACTTTTGGAATGATATTTTAAACTTTGTGGAAGAAATATTTCCTGACAATGAAAAGGTTCAAGGTGCAATGGAGTTAAAAAATTTATTACATGAAAAACGTAATGAAGTTCTTCAATCATCATCATCTATGCCAATTTCTTTATCAACTCCGACTACAATCACAACTAATTCTGATGACTCTGAAGAAGAAAAGCATAAAGCAATTAGCGACAATCAAATTGTCGATCCGTTATCTTTGGATCTTTCTAATTTGTTAGTTACGGGGTTAACTCCTGGCTTATTTTTGAAAATTGCTCCGGAAGAATTAGCGAAACAAATTTATTCTTATCATTATATTGAGTTACACCGGTTGAATCCAAAAAATAATTTAAGAAGTTTCATGTCTCTGAAACACCGACCAAATTCACCCACACCATACAAAGAAAATCCATTAAATTTCACTCAGACATCTCCGCATTTCATCACACGATTAATCTACCATCATGTCTTGATTGCAGCTCAACAATCTGCTGCCTACTCATCTCGTCGTCATCTAATCCTGATGCATTGGATAAAAGTTGGTATTAAATGTAAGGAATTGGGCGATATGGCAAGTTGGATGGCTATTGTTGTGGCTGTTTGTTCGCCTAGTATAGTGAGATTAAAGGAAACTTGGAGTAGGGTGGATGATAATTTGAGAAGTATAATCATTAATGATTGGATTCCTCTGATGTCATCTTTTGGTGGTTTAGAAGGCGAGATTGATTATATTAATAATCCCAAGACGCCACCTTTAACACTATTACCTGATAAAAAAGAAAATCTTAAAACTAAACCAATTCCTTATTTTGGGTTTGTTACTGTTGCATTGGAAAAATTGTCTACTAACGTACCAGCTTTTATTGATAAATCTTCTTCATTATCACCTGGGGAAGATTTTAATTTCAATGGAAACTACACCAATGCTAACAATAGTAGTAGCCGCGTCAGCTCACGAAATAATAGTATGACTGGTACTAATACCATTAATTTTGAAAAATATTGGAAAATATATGATACAATTATCAATTCTCTTTCTCAATGGCAACAATTTGATGATATTCAAGAAAGTCAAGGTCAAGCTCTAGACAATTATAACTATAATGACCTTTCATCACCATCATCACCATCATCATCATCATCATCAACAATAACATCAATGCCACAATATCCATTCACTCCGTCACTACCACTTCAAAAATATTTCCACCAATTAAATTCTGTTCCAGCTTCTTCAATATTAGATCCATGGCAATTTTTTGATTCCTCTTTATCAGCTATTCGTAAAAGTCTTGACCCGGCATTTGAAAGTCAGGATGAAAAACTTGCACAATCAATTGACAAGGTTGTGAGTGATTCAGTACCTTCTTCACTCTACGAAAATTCAAAAGATAATTTTATGGAACAAAAGAAACAAAATGAGCAACCAAAGCTGCTCGGAAAACAATTAAGACACCACCACCATCGACCAAGAACTAAGTCCAAAGTGGAGACTTTTTTGATACATGCCGTACGACCAATATCTGTAGTTGCAAACACCATAACAAATACATTAAATCCTGGATATGCATCCAATTTACGAAATCAGCAGCGATCACAACAAAGTTTTAAACCAATACTTGTCATCAATCTAATTAATTCTGAAATAATACCTGAAAACAATTTATCTCTTGATTTTGTGTTCCGTATCATAAGTGAAGAAGGTGGTCAATATTTGTTTCAAGCCTTTAATTTTGATGATATGAATGATTGGATTAAAGTTATAAAAGGTGCGGAAAAACAAGGAGCAGAAAAACGTCAAACAATATTTGAGACAGAACCAATAATTAGAATTGAAGAAGAAGAAATATCACACGAAGCTGGTTCACGTAATTCCAGTAAGTTTGAAATTTTTATTTTCATTCAAGCTTAATATTAATAATATTGATTTTTTTTAATTTTTAATTTTTTTAGTTTTTGGAAAAGATCTTGAAACATTAATGATAGATGGAAATATCCCAACCCTCGTTGAAAGATGTATAGCTGAAATTGAAAAAAGAGGTTTGTGTGGCCATAAAGAATAAAGAATATGAAGATGATTTTTGATTTTTTGGTTCTTATAGTTAATTATTTAATTATTATTATTTATTATTTATATAGGTCTTGTAGAAGTTGGAATTTATCGTGTTCCAGGAGCTAAAAACCTTATTGAAAAATTAACGGAAGAATTTAACAATGGTAAAATTATTATTATTTGTATTTTTATTCGCATAATGTTAACATTGGTATTTTTATTTACATAATGTAAATATTTATTTATTTCTTATTATAGATGTAGATACAGTAGATTTGAGTAGTGAAACTTATAGTGACATTAATGTTGTGGCTAGTGTACTCAAACTTTTCTTCCGTTCACTTCCAGAACCTCTTATGACCTATGAATTGTATGAAGAGTTTGTCAATGCTTCAAGTAAATATAATTAAAAAGATTTTGTTTTTTTACATTTACGATTTATTTTATTCATTAACCATTAATTTATATACATATAGAAATTAAAGATCATGATGAAAGATTTTATGCAATCAAAGATCTTTTGTATAAGTTACCAAGAGCAAATTACAATTTATTAAAACGATTGATCGAACATTTGGAAACGTAATTATTTTTAATCATTATTTAATGGATTTTATTATATAAAGTAAAATTGATATTTATTTAAAAAAATTTTTATAGAGTCACTGATTACGAAGAAGTCAACCACATGTATGCTGGTAACTTGGCGTTAGTATTTACTCCTAATATACTCAAATCACGTGATTTTATAGTTTCAATGGGAAATTTAGGACACAATAGTGACATTATCAAATGTCTGATACTTCATTATCATTGGTTCTTTGATGTGGAGAGAGAAGTGGAAGAAGTTGGAGATAATGGAGAAATTGAAGAAGGGACGGTTAGAGAGGGTGAAGATGTAGAGGAGGTTGAGATTGAGGAGATGGATGGGTTTGATGTAGAAACTTCAGATGTTGACTTGGATCCAGATTATATATAATTGTGTTGATCATCGATTATTGTATTATTATCATTAACATTAATAGATTGTGTTGATTCGCAAATCGCATTATGATTTAATTTGTTTTTGTAAATAGTATTTAAAAAATTTATATTTTACACACATAAAATTCATTTAATTCATTAATCATAAATATTTATTTTTTAAATTTTTTTTTTTGTTTTTTTTTTTTTCAAGTAGATTTTGGAAATATTTTTATATAAATATATTTATTTGTTTTAATATTTAACAATGAAATTTACATTATTGTTGTTTTTGAATTTGGTTATTAACGAACTTCTTTGAACACCCTACTATTACCTAAAGGTCGCGCTTAATACTTTTTTTAATCGTATTCGAATTTCGAAATCTTGGAATTTCTAATTTATATTTACACAGTTTTTTGTAAAAGTGTATTAATGTTTTCAGTGTGCATGACCATAATGAGTAATTATTTACTTTCGTTTTCATAAATCAACTTAAAAAATCATAAGGTGACCTATATCGGTTACGTACTATAATTGATTATGCTCTTCGCTCAGAACTCACATTAATGGTAAAATTCTCTTTTTTTTTTAAAAAGTTGAATTCAAGCTTGGCGAGATAGATATGTGAGTTGTAAATACTCTCTGGATTTATTCTACCCGAAGTCCTGTTTATCTTTATTGTTATAAGTTCCGCAACATTTTCTGGATTGAAGGGTTTGATAATCGAGAATGTGGAGAAATTACATTTGTATTTAGTGAATCCAATTCATATCTTTAAAATTATCCACTTAAAAAAAAAAAAAATCAAAGTTGCGATTGATCAATTAAGCGTGAATGCGTCAACATGATAATTGTACAAAATTCTAAACACAGATTTTCAAAACATGTGAACTTAATATTAATTAATTCGATCATTAAAATATTTCAATAATTCAATAAATAATGATTTTATTTTATTTTAATTTTATTATTATTATTATTATTATTACTAATACTATTATTATACATTAATAACTCTAGATAATTTTTGAACACGATTTAATAAAATATCGCCTTGTTTAATTGTTTGTTGATATTGTGCATTCTTTGCATCCGGTCTATTAGTCTCTACAATTCCATTCACTTTATCAATCACACAATTAAGTCGTCCTGCTGCAATAAACTTAGAAATATCACTGATATTTTATTAAAAAAAAAAGGAATAATATGGTCAATTAATTGTGATGTAAAGAATTGATTCGATTATTTTTTATTTGTATTAAAAAAACCTACTTGTCAATAAATTCTTCAGATACACCAAATGAACTTGCCATACTTTCCATTGTTAATGATCTATAAGATTCTAAAAGTTGTGCATATGCAATAATCCTCATTTCGCGCACATAGAATCTTTGATGAGAAAAAAGATATCTTGAAGTAAGAAGATGAATGCTTTCCACCTCAGCTATTATTAATATATAAGTAATATCATAATTATTTATTTAATTATTTATTTTGTGAAAAAAATCATCGCATTGTTATAATTAACTTACCAAGTGAAAGGAAGAATTTTGCATAATCACAATTGTAAAGTGAATTAATATAATTTTCAAGATGAGGAATTTCACCTAATACTTCCAAAACTTCTGGTGAATCAATAACCTGAAAATATAATAATAATAATAATAAATCATTTTATTAAAAATATAAAAAATATATCCTGAAAAGATATCAAAAATAATAATAAATATGATAAGCACATTTTTCTTTAAGTCAACTCTGTTAAGTGAAATAGCACCTGCTAAAACGGCATGTTTTACAAAATCTTTATATTCCATTAATTCAGTAGACATAAATGTTGATAAAGTGTCAAGAAAAAGATTTGCTGCAGTTTTGAAATCACGTATAGATAATCTATAAACTCCCTCGTACACTTTGTGTCGATTACGTCTATCCCAATCACCTCCTTCTTCTATTAAACTTTAATAAAAAGAAAATCAAGTCAATAGATATAAATTACTGCATATATTTATAGATATGAAAATATAATTGTTCACCTTTTAGCTTTCTCGATGTTCCTACTAATAAGATCATTATCATTAAAAAAGAATCCAATCCTTACAAAAGAAAAAACGATGTCAATTCTGGAACCTAATCCTGCTGTTTTATCTAATGCAGAATGATAAGCTGATATGGCATTTTCCTATACAATCATATTTAAAAAATTTTTTAATATAAAATTGATTTATATGTGAATATGAGAATTAATAATAAATAACAACGAAAGGGGAAACCTTATCACCAATTTTTGCAAAGTAATTAGCTTTAGCTAATAACGCATCGCTAATTTCTGTTTCACCAAGATTTTGTTCTGCGTCTTGTAACTTTTCATCCAATTTTTGTAACTCTTCTTTATTTGCTTCCTGATACTTTGTAATTAAGGACTTATCAACAGGTATCTTTAGTTCATCAGCTACCAATTGATAAAATGGCGCCATATCTATGTGAAGTCATATCATGTTAATCAGTCAATTATTATATAACCTTTATTATAATCTTTACTCAGAAATTATAAACAATAAATAAAACTTACTATTTTCATCAATTGCTGAAAAAAGTTTTGTCCTAGCATCTTCATGAAATTCCGGTATTTTAGGATTATTTAGGATGAAACGATAATTTGCAAGATCAAGATTTGGAATTTTTGGAATTGAATTATCAGACATAGCAGCAATATTTGTTTTATAAGTAAAAAATTTTTTTACCAATTGACTGGCGTGGCGTAACACGAATCAAAAAAACACGGAAACATGATTGGCCAATAATAATAAATAAATGCGCATTTTACCGTAAAGTCTGGAAAGATAGCACCCCTACTTTAAAACAATTGAGCGTCAATATAAAAAAAATGTTACACATATGTAAAAAGGGGATGCTATCTTATCAGACTTTACGGTATATCAGTCAGTGTGCAAATCCTAAAAATTAAGGGCAGGTCGTTTTGCCAGAAATTTTGGCTGATCGACATTGAAATTTTACTAATAAAAACTCGAATTGAATGTCTTCAGTCCCTTATTTTATACCCTTGCTTTGTATCAATTGTCACCAAAATTTCCACGTTGTTTATTTTTCATGTTCTTTATTTTGTAAAAAATTTTCAAGTGAGGTTAATAAAAGAGCGGAAAAGAATCAAGGTCTCAAAGTTTTTTTTGTCTTTGTGTGACAATAGAAGATTCATGTCTTGCGAGTAAACTTGTAAAACTAGTGAAGTATTTAAATATTTTAAACATTACAATTATATTTAAAGAAAATTTAAATAATGAATAGTTTGACAAATAAATTATTAATTTTATTTTTATTATTTACATTTTTATTATATTTCTTATATTAATTACACAGGAAGGATGTTCGTTAATAGATACTTGTCATGTATTTATAATCGATTATTATATATACTCATTATTTGTGTTAATTATATATTATATTATTAATTTGATTCTTTTATTATAGATATAAATAATTAAATAGAATCGGGATAGAGATACTTGTAATTTATAATTCAATTAATATTCATATTAAAACTTTTGACTTTTTTGTTAAATCATTATTCTTAAATCTTTTGAAATTTCAGAATTAACTTTTTTTATTATGATAATATATTGAAGATAGAATTGATATGGCGATGACATAAATTATGATGATGCTTACCAACCAACCTTTAGACACACTATCCAAATAATACCAATCAAGAATATAGATGTTAGTCACAACCTTTGATGGTGGTCGCAATAACCTTTGTGATCGTAATAACCTTTGTGATCGTAATAACCTTTGTGATCATGATAACCTTTGTGATCATGATAACCTTTGTGATCATGATAACCTTTGTGATCATGATAACCTTTGTGATCGTGATAACCTTTGTGATCGTGATAACCTTTGTGATCGTAATAACCTTTGTGATCATAATAACCTTTGTGATCGTGATAACCTTTGTGATCTTGATAAACTTCGTGATTGTGATAACCTTTGTGATCGTTTTGCTTTCTTCTTTGAATTGTAATATGGACATATTTGTCATAAAAAAGATCAAGATGTGTAACTACATTAGAAGCTAAAACTACATTACATCTGTTATCCAAGAATAAATAAACATTAAACTATCTTACCTACTTTAAATATGAAAGCAGATCTAAGTTTTATATATATATTTGAAATTCCGTCAAGTGAGTCGTCTTTATGGTACTAATGAAGCCTAAAGAACAAGGTTTGCTTTGGTTTATTGACTATTGTAATCAGCATAAAGTTGCCTTGTTGAAAAGAATCAACGTTTTTAGTGTAAATTTTCGTGTGTATTTTGACCCACTATTATGAGTTCAAAAAGCAGCTTTATTTTAAATAAAAGATGCCAAAATATTTATTGAAACTTCAAGAAAATTTTTTATATATATCATTTTTTTAATCTATTAAGAAGTTCATGTGTTATAAATGTTAAAAGAAATTTTTGGCATTCAAGCAAATGTTAACACACTAATTAAAAAAAAGAGAAAGGATTTGCACACTGACTGTTATTGATCCACCAACACACCACATCCTTACAAATTGAACCCTTAATCCAAAATGTAATATCCCGAATACTTGAAGTTTATTGGCTTTTTTTTCATCAGGATTCACAGCCTTAATCAAATCTGATAACATATCATACAATGTTTTAGGCATTTTAAAGTATTCAAGTAAATATTTATTATCTGAAACTCCTAAGTATTCTTTTGCTGCTTCAATTGCTCCCACCTTGTGAAGGTTATGAATAATGTAAATTATTCCATCTATCTTTCAACCAATGAACTTCCTTTGATTTTTTGACCCATCCATGATTTTTCCTGTTGGCACTAGCTAATGATGGTATATCAGTTCTATAGAGAACAACAAACAAAACTTTATTAAAAAATGAACAATAATAATAATCTATTGATTACATCAATAAAAATTAATCAAAACCTTTTTACATCAATTCCCAACCACATGTCCCTCATGCAAAATCAATACAATCACCAAACAAAGCTACTGTGAACCAACTTTCATATTGATATCTGATTAAAGGAGAATTTATGTTTTCATACAAATTTACCAGTGTTCTAATTGTTATTTGTATCCATTCAAGATCATAATGTTTTTTTACATCATAATTAACACCACATTCAAGATAAGAATTCATAACTATATCATGTAGTTCTTTTAGTGAGTTCTAGGGTTTGTATTCATGAATATCATAAAGGGTCACACAGGGTCACACACTATTAAAATCAAGTGATCAACTCATGTTTTTAAGGGATTTTTTGCTGTTTTAATGGTGTGTAACCCCTTAATGATATTCATGAATAAAAACCCTAGTGAGTTCTTTGCATATTTTGACAGTTCCTTAGCAATTTCATCAGGAATTGTTGGTATTCCTATCCTATCATTAGTTAACTCTCTCCATTCATCATCATTAAATAATGCTTTTACATCGGAATCATTATAATCTATGATATATGAATGTGCATGACTAATAATAACACATATTAGTATTACCAATGATCAATAAAAGAATAATGGAAAGAAAATTAAGTTTCAAAAACTTCTGTTTCATAATCCATCTCTCATATATATTCAAACAAGACATCTTCCACAATCCTTCCCATGCTCAAATGCATCTTTAATGCATCAGGGATTGAAGTGTGTGCTTTTAAAACAGAACCTTTATCAAGTTTGGAGGGATCTTGTTCATTATCATTACCAGCATCTTTTATGACAGAAAAATTTCACCAGAATGGAATATTGATCACGATGATAAATAAATAAAATATTCTTGATAACAATAATTTTATAACATTATTCCTTTTTTCATTTTCTTTGTTTGCTGAGGATGATGAACTATGGTGCAAAACAGAGTTAATTAATCTATTTATTTATATGAAGTTAACCTAGTAATATTATTTATCAATTTGTGTTTTTTTATTCTGAAATTGGATTGATGTGTAGAAAGATTTTGTTTTTTATGATGTTTTTTTATGTAAAGGGAATGTATTTTCTTTGAAATCTTTATAATAATTATCTCTTATAATAAAAAAACTTTTTCTCATATTTATAACTGGCTGTCAAGCAACGTAACACAGAAATTTTAGATGGATTTATACAGAACCCTGTAAATTTTTGACTGGGATCCTGAAAAACTCAATCACCTTATTACATTGAAACAAACCTTTCATCTGATTTTATGGGCAACTTATCAGCAATTCTCTCTATTGCCAAAGAAAAACAAAAGTTGATGAATGTAATGCAAGAAGATTCAATATTGGTAAAGAAAACAGCTAGTGTGGTTGCCAGTGGGTTCTGTTTACCTTGGTTCAAACAATGATCTTGGGGATCACTACTCCTGGTCAGGGAGATTTAACAAAATAACCAGCCATTTGTTATATGATTTTCCACTTTTTAAATAACAAATATTAATGCTGTTGTTACATATTAATTAATTAATTACAAATATTAATATAAACAAATGATGAATTAATGAACAAATGAACAATTAATTTCATAATCTAATCTTCACCTTTGTCAATAATCTTACAAAACAAAAATTTTTTTTCTCCTCATCCACCAATTAGAATCATTGGCCTGTTTTTTGTTCTAGCCAATTCAAATGTGTCAGAATGCTGTTTTTTCTTATTTTTAACAGCCACTTCAACAATTTCCAATAGCTCTCGAAACATTTTGTCATAATAAATCCCAAAGGTTTACTTCTGTATTTCCAAACAAAGTTGCCATCTGCAGTAATTCTTAATTGATTGCATGTTCCACAAAAATGATCTGACATGGAAGTAATAAATCCAAAATTTCCAGTAAATCCAGGTATACAATATACCTAACAATTGACAAACAAAACAAAAGTAATCCATCAAGTTAATAATTGGCAGAATGGAATGAGCAAATGATGTGATATCTGGATTTAATATTATCCAATAACTCTTTATACAGTATAAAATTTTTCTCATTCCATTTGTTAGCTTTTAATTAGAATAAACAAAATAAAGAATTATCAATAATGTATCTTATATTTGAAAATAAGATTTACATATATACAGTGTGTTAAGAAAAAAATTGGCCTCCGTTTTTTTATTGTAGTTTTATATAGAATGTTTTAATTTTAAAATGAGATAGCTTGTTTAAAAGCCAAAAAGCAAGGCT